CTATTGAGTCTTCAGGACCCTGGAAGTTCTGTTGTCATTGTTTCCATCTCCAGATCGCCCAACTGGGTGACAGCCACGCCGTGCCCCTCCCCCTTAGCTGGAGGCCACAGTGGGAGGTTGGGGGATGCAGACTCCAACCCTGGCAGTAGCCTGGGTCCCTGGAGCCAGCAGAGCAGGGAGAGCAGAGCGCAGGAACTGAGGGGCTACTTCCGGCTCCTGCATGGCCAAGAGCAATGAGACCCTGAGAGCTGAGGGGTCCTGGACAAGCCCTCGGGTCTGGGGTGTCAACACGGCCCCCAGCCCCTGTCCCAGGGCCTCACCCGCCTACAAACCCAAGCCACAATCCTGCGACGAACGTGACTTCCGTTTCCCAACGTCATTCCTGAGGCCACACCAGGCGCCGACAGTCCCCAAGGAGGCTGCCACCCTGGCGGGGTGTGGGAGGGGCTCAGAATGCACCCCCTGTGACTCCTACTCCGCTCCCCACCCTGGTTTGGGAGTAAAATTCGACTTGGAGAACGTGGGGCAGGTCTGTCTGTAATTCTGTTTAGAGAGGAAAGCAGCTGTGACATGAAGGATTTAATGAGGTTAGAAATCTAGAAGGAAATGGAGTGGGGACACATTATCAAGAGAAATACAGGCAGCCGCCGGGAGTACGCTGATATTAAACATCAGGCTTCCAAACCATATACGTAGAATCCACTTAGGGACTCGACGGTGGCGTTGGGAAGCACGTTTTCCCAAAGCTTGTGGTTCAGCAGCCGGTATCTCACCCTCACGTAGCAGGAGGGGCCCTGGAGGGGCCCTGCCCAGACCCCGGGGAAGCCCAGCCCCCACCCATTGGTAACTGTCCTCTCCCTGCTCTGTGGTGCCAAGTGACACAGGATGCTGCCACCCTGCAGGGGACAAGCCCTCGGCAAGGGCTGCAGAGACCTGGGCGGTGTGGCTGTCACACCGAGCCCCGCTGAGATCCGGGGACAGGGAGGGCCGAGGCCTGGCCTGGAGGAAGCGTGTCTGGCAGAGGGAACCCGGGAGCCGGTGGGGCGGAGGAGGGGGCCCAGGCTTTGCCCCACACCGTGCAGGGCAGGCCACAGCCACGTGGGAGTGTGGCCTGGCCAGGGAACAGCCGAGGTTCTGCCGCGTATGTGGGTGTGTCAGGCAAGGTCGCTGTGGGGCTCACTGGCCTGTGGGGGCCAGTCAGCGCCCCACGAGGGCAGCCGCCCCCTCCTCCTCCACCAGAAGACTCCACTGCTGTGGAGCAGCTCTGAGCTCTGCCCTGCGTCTGGCAGACGCCGGCCCTAGGCGTGGTCCAGCCCCTCACCTGCCCCCAGGTCAGGCCCACCCAGCCCTGCAGGCTCCCTGAGCAACTGGGCAGCCCCAGCCTGGGGAGGCCTCTAGGTCAGCAGGGCAGGTGGGTCTGGGGCGGGTGCAGAGTCTGGTCGGGCCCCTCTGGGCACTGGGGAGCGGCCCCACCTGGGGTAAGTGCGGGGTGGCAGACAGGACGGCAGCGGCTGCCCAGGCTCCAGCCCCCTGCGCAGTGCGCTTGCCGTTCACGGCCTCTTGGGCGACAAGATCGGGACAGGGGGCCGGCGGGGCAGCGCCCTCACCTCTTCCCGCTCATGGCCACACGGCCGCACTGCCGGACCCAGGCGCCCCGGGGCCAGCCCTGGCTTTGCACGTGGGTGCTGGGTGGGACAGTTGAATTCTCCAGGTCTCAGCTTCCGGCTGTACACAGTCGGTGCTCAGTAAATGTTGGCCCCTGTCATCACCCATGTGCTCAGGAAAGCAGGGCCTGGGCCTTTGGGAGAGGGTGGGGCAGGGCCCCTCCCAGGACACCCCTCGCCCCGTGCGCCACCTGTGAGGAATGAGGGCAGCTCTGGGGTCCTGGTTCTGGGGCCACTGCCGTCTGCACCCCCAACCCTCTCTGCCGGGCCCCTGCCACTGTCCCCGGCCAGCTCCTGCTGCAGGGCTCACACCTGTGCACACCTGTGCACACCTGTGCTGCAGGCTCCCCACTCAGCCCTCCTGCCTGCGTGGGTTCCTCCCGGGGGGACCACCCTGTTCTGTGGCTTTCTGGGTCTCTAGGAGACCGTGACGTGGCCAGGCCAGTGCGGCCATCGGACAGAGCCTCGTGTGGTGAGAGGAAGGCCACCAGAGTTGGCGCCGTGCTGGGGGAGGGGCTGTTCCGGGGGAGGGCCCAGGCACCCCAGAAACCCACCCTCTTCCTCCGTAAATGTCCCCATTCCCTGAGGCTGCTCTGAGGGGGACCCCGTTTTGCAGACAGAACACTGAGGCTGAGGGCGGCGGCTGCCCGTGAGGTCTGCCCCGCCCCGTGCTGCCCTCCCCAGGAAGGGCCCCTCTGCAGCCCTTCCAGAGGAGCCTGTCCCAGCTGGGCTTTGGAGGGGCCTCGGGCTGGGGGTGCCTAGACACACAGACGTCCGGGGGCGGGAGTTGCCGCGGCCGCCGGCAGCTGGGGAGGAGCGTGGCCAGCTGGCCACCCGGCCTGGCCCGCAGGCTGCCCGGCGAGCCACACACAGGTTTTCACCCCGTATTTTTCCAATAAAAAAGCAGTCAGACACCAACCACAGACTCGCGGAGGGGCCATCTGGCCGCGTGCTCCGGAGCCTTCTGGCCGCGCTCGCTGCCTCCCGCCGGCTGCCGAGGCTGGAGTACGGAAGGGGGGCAGGAGGTGCTGGGGCACAGGGGGACGGTGGGGGGCCCTGCCTGTCTGTGCGTCCACTCAGGGGGAAGTGTCCCCAAGTGTCTGCACCTCGACTCGAGGCAGAGTCCAGGGCAGGTCCCCGGGGGGAGGTGGGCTGGGGGGCTGGCGCCAGGGCTGAGCTCAGACCCTGGCAGGTTTGGGGAGAAGACGCCTCCCCAGGTGCCGGCCCTCAGGTGTGCTGCCCACCTGCCGGGCTGTGCCAGGGCTGCATTCCTGGCCGCACTGCAGTGGGGCCCCCGGGCGGCCTGTGCAGGTGACTCTGGACGTGCTCCCGCCTGGGGGGCACAGATGCCACCCCTCCCCCGTCCCAGGGGCTGCTCCCCACCCCGACACCCCGGCCCTGCACGGGACAGCCCCGGCTCCACGGCGCGGTAGTTGCGCAGGCGCCAGGGCCAGGCCGATGTCCCTGCGTCTCGGTGGGGACAGGGAGGAGGTGGTGGCAGGGGCGGCTCCTGCCCTGTGCCCCAGAGTCTCCACCAGACGCCAGTTGCCACGGGGTGGTGGCACGTCCCGCAGAGGCCACACTGGGGGCTGAGCGGGTTGGCACACGCGGGGCACAGTGCAGGTGGGGTCTGAGGCCCCATCCGCTCTCCCCGGGGGGCAGGTCCCTGGACTGGGGCAGAAAGGCAGCGCCCTGGGAGCCCCGCCCAGCCGGGGGCCAGGGACACAGCACTGGCTGGGTCTGCCGGCCCTGTGTCTGAGGCGGGGCGGGGGTGGGGGCCCAGCAGAGGAGGGGCTGCAGCACAGCCGCTCTGAGAGCCAGCGGGCCGGCGTCTCCCCGGATGCACAGGGGCTCTGGGGAAGAAAGACGCTGCCAGTCTGCAGACGCCCCCGACCCCGTTCTAGAACTCTCTCCTGCTGCCCCCTCGTCCCTCCTGCCCAGGCTGGCACAGCCCAGGGTGACCGGTCGGGACCAGTGCTGGTGCTGGACGGGCCGGGTCCTGGCTGGGGTGAACCCCTGGGTGTGGGGGGCAGGGCAGGCGGTGTGGGGGTGTCCTGGCCGCACAGAGGAGCCCGCCCTGGGCAGGGCGGCAGCTTTGCTTCCTCTCTGGAGGGCGGGTGCAGGTGGGGAGCCCCTGGCCGCCTTCCAGCCCGCAGAGCGCCCCCTCTCAGAGCAGCCCTCAGCTGTGCAAAGCGTTCTCCCCGAAAATTGGTTTTAAATTAAAGCAGGTGCTGAGGGGAGGAGCGGCCTCAACACTTTCCCAGGTGCCCGTAACCTAATTCCATTAACGAGATTGGGACAGACAATTAGATCGCTCCTGTCTGCGGCACCGCCGGGCGGGGGCTGGGTGCGGCAGGCAGCTCCTTGCGGGACCCCCCAGCGGGTCCCCGACACTGCCCACCCACGGGGTGGGTGAGAAGGGGGCGCACTGTGTGGGGACGCTGTGGGCCCAGCAACCCAGGCCACCAAAACCCCAGACGCACAGCCCCCGGGTTTCCATGACGACCTGCCTTGATGACCCACCGTCCGGGGCCTCTCAAACCCCAGGCCTACCCCATCCCAGGCCACCACCTCGGGTGCTCTGACACTCCGACCCGCACCGGCCCTTGGCCACGAAGCCCCTCGGCTCAGAAAGCCCCCGCCGGGGTCAGACACGGTGGGCAGACACGGGCCACGCCACCCACGCCTCGGTCCCGTGCTCGGCCCTGCCCACACCGACGCCACCCCGCCTCACGGAAACCCTCCTGGAAACCAGTCGGCGCCCAGCTCCTCCCCGGCCTTGCGCAGAGCGCGGCGCGCACACGGCGGGCTGCCCGCGCCTCTGCTGACAGCGACTCGGCTGCCCACTGCCCAGCCCCCGGCTCCAGCGGGGCGCAGCGGATCCCGGCCAGGACGGGCCCCCAGAGCCAGCGCCGGCTGCCCCCTCCCCGCTGCCCACAGCACACACGGGGCCCCCAGGCGACCAGGGACGGGCCCTGCACCCCAAGGGCTGGTGTCTGGCCCTGGCCTGGGGCCTGCAGCGGGGACGGTCCAGGCGAGCCCCAGCAGGCTCTGGGCCTGGAGGGAAGGCCCCAGGCCAGGCCTGCCACGGGACTAACGCGGCTTTGTCCTGCCGGGACTCGGGGCGACTGTGACGGCAAACCCTGGGGCCGTCTCGGGGCTCAAGCCCAGCCACCTCCCTGGGGCACCTCTGCCCACCACGTCTGCGTTCTGTGGCCAGAGGGGGCCCGGGTGGCCATGGCCCTCCACGCCCACTGGAACCCTGCAGCGCCCGGCCCCGATGCCTGGGCCCCCGGCTGCCCCCGCCCGGGCGAAGGAGAGGAGAGAGCGGCTTACCTCGTCGTCCGGGCCGCTCTCGCTGTCGCACTGCGGGGACAAAGGAGAGAGCGTGAGTCAGGGCCTCCTCGCCGCGGCAACCCCGCCCGGGGCTCGGGTGGGGGGGACTTCCCGGGGGCCAGCGGCCCGGGCTGCGGGGGCTGCGCTGGCTGGACCCCGACCACTGTCCTGAGGTGGACGGACACAGCAGCACTGCCAGTCCGAGCCACCTGGGGGGTGCCCAGGACCCCGAGCCCCCAGGACCAGGCCGTGCACCCGGAGGGGGCCTCCCCAGCCCGCAACTGTGGGGCCCCCTCGCCCCGCCACGCAGGGGCCTCACTGCACACCCCAGCGCTTCGTGAGCCCAACGGGACCAAGGATGGCTGGGAGACCTGGCCCTGCACCCCAGCCTTGTGTGGGCAGGGCCTGGGACCCCCGGGTCTGGACCGCTTGCGGCCAGGGGGTGCCGGGCAGAGGGCGGGCCCCCCTCATAGCACGCTGCGCTCCGGGCTGGGAACTTGACGGCGGCATCGGACCCGTTTGTCGGCTCGCCTGGTTAACGCAAGATTGTGACAATCAAGAAAACACAACGTTGTTTTCCATTTTCAGTATGCAGAGAACACACTGCTCTAGAAACCACAGCAATTCTCCCCTAAAAGAATAAAAAGGAAAAAAAAAAACCCTTCCTAGCAACTGCAGTCATGATGCATTCACGTCAAATGAGTTATATTGCTGGAAATCAATCTCTCCGGGACGCAGGGGAGGGTGATCAGGGTCCTCAGACGTGAGCACGCCCGCTTTGCGTGCTGCGCTCTGCTTGACTGATTGACGTAGGTGATCAGACTGTACCGCCTCCGCCATGCCCCAGGCCGAGGGCCGAACGTTCTCAAAGACAGAGTTCACGGAGTTCTGCAAAACGTGCTTCACCAGGCCGGGCGCGGCGGCTCACGCCTGTCATCCTAGCACTCTGGGAGGCCGAGGCGCTTGAGCCCAGGAGTTGGGGGCTACTGTGAGCGAGGCTGACACCACGGCACTCACTCTAGCCTGGGCAACAGAATGAGACTCTGTCTCAAAATTTTAAAGAAGTGCTTTACCAGACACTCATTGCAGGCAAGAACTGCCACCTCCAGCTAGTGACAAGTGACAAAGGCAGGCTTGAAGTGGCCACCCGGCCCGGGCCTCCTCTCTCTGAGCCAACAGGCTCCACGTCCCGCAGCCCGACCTGCCCCACGCTGTGCCGCCCCGCAGGCCGGGCGAGGCCCCCGGGTGGGCGTCCTTCCCACAGGCAGAAGGCGGCGTGGGCCAAGCCCTCTCCTGGGGTCCCCAGTGCTGGCCTTTAGGACAAGAGGCCAAAAACAGCCTCGCTTTCTGCTGGGCGCCATCCCCCTGCACCTGCCCAGCCAGCCCCGTCTGCAAACCGCACCTGTGTGCTGAGCCCCGTCCCTCCCGGCCCGAGGTGGCAGGTGTGGTGCTCACGGAGGGCCGGGGCCCTGGACCCCGTCACCCCACCAGCCTCGCAGGCCGGGCCCCTCCCGGCCTCAGCCCTCCCTGTGGAGCGGCAGGCTCGGTGCCCAGCGCTGGGAGGGAAGCAGGTGAGAATGAGGACATGGGGGGCGAGGGGCCCCAGCCCAGACCCGGGGGCGCAGGGGTGGGGGGAGGTGCCCACAGGGCTGCGGGGGAGGGGTGGGCTGGAGGAGGCGAGCCCAGCGCCGTGGCCACGCTGGGGGGTGGTGCACAGTGAGAATGGGAGGGGGGGGGCAGGGCCAGGGTCCTGGCCCGTGGGACCAGTCAGGTGCCCTCTGACCCCAGGGCTGCTGGGGACCCCGGCTCAGGCCTCCCCCGTGTCATCTTGGCTGCAGATCCCTTGTGTCGGGACCACGATCCCAGGAAGCCGCTGGGTGCCGTGGGGCGGGCCTCACCCACAGCATGCCTGTCACTTGGGCCGGGCCGCCAGGACCACCCACTGGCCTAGGCCCTAAATCGCTGGGTCTAGTCCCTCCCTCCTGCGTGGTTTGGCTGAATTTGTTATTTTTCACATTTGCCGCCACAATTTAAGCACAGGGAGATCTCTCCTGAACACTCCCTGCTGCCTCCTATGGAGAACGGGAACCACGTCCTCATGCGACAGCTCCCCCCACGCGACAGCTCCCGTGCCTCCCAGCTCCCGTGCCTCCCGGGCTGCCCTGGCCTCGAGCCCCAGAGCCTGGGCCCCCATGGAGCACAGCCCACCCGACCTGGCCTCCCTGTCACCGTGAGACCCTAGGCAGGTCGACTGGCCTCTGAGCCTCAGTTCCCTCAGCAGAGATAGCACACGGGGTGGGACTGGGGGTTAGACGAGGGTCAGCAGGGCCCCCCACGGGGTGGGTTTGGGGTCTCAGGGTTAGACGAGAATCAGCAGGGCCCCCCATGGGGTGGGTTTGGGGTTTCAGGGTTAGACGAGGGTCAGCAGGGCCCCCGCACAGGGTCGGTATGGGTCTCGGGGTTAGACAAGGGTCCGCAGGGCCCCCCATGGGGTGGGTTTTGGGTCTCAGGGTTAGATGAGGGTCCGCAGAGACCCGGCACGGGGTGAGTTGTGGGTTCGGGGTTAGACAAGGGTCAGCAGAGACCCCACATGGGATCGGTATGGGTCTCAGGGTTAGACGAGGGTCAGCAGGGCCCCCCATGGGATCGGTATGGGTCTTGGGGTTAGACAAGGGTCAGCAGAGCCCCCCGCACGGGGTCAGTTCTGGGTTCGGGGTTAGATGAGGGTCGGCAGAGACCCGGCATGGGGTGAGTTGTGGGTTCGGGGTTAGACGAGGGTCAGCAGAGACCCCACATGGGCTCAGTTCCAGGTTAGACGAGGGTCAGCAAAGACCCCGCATGGGATTGGTTCTGGGTTCGGGGTTAGACGAGGGTCAGCAGAGCCCCCACACGAGGTCAGTTCTGGGTTCAGGGTTAGACGAGGGTCAACAGAGCCCTCGCACGGGGTGGGTCTCGGGGTCAGATGAGCGGTGTGTGCACAGCGCTCGAGACAGCAGGGCCGGCAGCTGGGGCCCGGTGACATCAGCTGCCGTCACGTCCCTTTGCCCCACTGTCGCCGTCATCACCACTGCCAGGCCCCCAGCACCTGGCCTGGCCCCCCTTCTGCCCGCGCACCCCCTAACCCCCAGAAACGCCTGCACGGGAGGTCGGGGGCGTGGCCTCCTCACCCCTTCCGGGCTGCCCCCCACGCGCGGACCAGGAGGCCCCAATCAGCACGGCTGCAGAGCGGCCACAGAAACGTGACGTTCTCCCCTCAGCGTGAATGTAATTGCTGCCTCACGCATGCGCGGGGGCCGTCTCTCCCACGGCTCAAACGAGGCATGGAAAATTCACGAGCAGGGGTCCCTGGGCTGTGGCCGCTGCTCCCAGCTGCCTGGAACTGAGGCTGCCTGGCCCAGAGAGCCCACCAGGCAGGGTGGGGAGACAGAGGGCCAGGAGGCTGTCCTGGGGGCGGGTCAGGGCCCTGCCCTGGAGGAAGGAACCGGAAACACCCCCAGTGTCTGCTCCCACCTCCCAGCGCCCCACTCGGGTGGTATGCCTGGTCCCAGGGCTGTGGCAGGGTCAGCACGGCAGCGTGGGCCGGTTTCTGCCCTGCTGCAGTGCACGAGCTGCACAACTGCACTTGAAGGTGCGGCTTGCAGAGCTGGGGGCAGAGGGAAGTCTTGACCGCTCTGCCAACAACACTGCCACCTGCAGGCCCCAGGAACCATGAACGTCAGCAGAATTTACGGCCCTCTGGCCAGTGGGTGTGGGAGGGACCCAAGTGGGCATCTCGGGCAGGAGGGTCTGGGACCCTCTCGGGCAGGAGGAGCTGCTGGGACCACCCACACTGAAGCCCCACCCCAGGCCAAATGCTCGAGGCCTGAGGTGTGCACATGCCTGTTCCGCGTGGTCCTGCTGGTGTGCCTCACGGCAATTCCTGGCCCATACACCTACTGTGTGCCTGGCTGTCACTGGCGTGTGCTGGTGCTAGGCCCTCACATGTGACGCTGGAAGCCTGGCAAGGCCCAGTGTGTGTGTGGGCGCTGGGAGCAGCCGAAGGAGGAGGAGACGCTGAGCTCGTCCCCATAGAAACGTCACCACAACCATCAGCTCATGAGAGCATTCTAGGGTCTGGTGTCCTGCTGGGAAGGCCCTTGGTCGTCCTGTCGGCCCCCCCCAGTCACGTGAATTGGCGCCAGGCCCAGGCAGGCCGGCCCGACGGGAGGGCGGACGCTCTCCGGGGAGGGTGTGGTCCCCCGGGGCTGGGGACCCTCGCTGGCAGAGGCTGGAGGTGCAAGTGCTGGGGCTACAGGCCTGACGCTGGCCGGGAGGAGCCTGCAGCCTGCGTGCTCCCACCAACGGGCACCTGCGTGGGGGCGCCACACCCACAGGTGCCCAGGTGCACAGGCCCATTTCACAGGTGCAAAGGGGAGAACAGCAACTCGCCACAGCCCCATGGCAAGTCGGGCAGCCAGCAGGGAGAAGAGCCCCTGACACTGGGGTGGCCCCGCTGGGCAGGGCCGGGCCGGGCCCTGGGGCAGCCGGGAGCCTGGGTCTGAAGCCACGTGACGGTGCAGGCAGCAGGAGGGGCCTGCCACAGCCCCGGACATCTTGGGAGGGGCTCTTTGGGCCCCATGACCCCAACGCTATGTGGCCTCCCCAGGCCTAGAGGGTGGCTGAGGCAACGCTGGGGCCTGGAGCCCGTTCCTGCCTGTAGCCGGCAGGGGCACCTGCCACAGCCGCCCTGCGGGGCTGGCGAGACTGCTGTGCGGGACATCTGGCCCCATCATGGCCGTGGGGTGTGTGGGCGGGGCAGGGTGGACGAGGGCCGCCGGGTGCTCCAAGGGTGACCACAAGAAAGGGGCTGAGGCCAGGGTGCGGTGGCTCACGCCTGTCATCACCAGCACTCTGGGAGCGCAAGGCGGCGATTTGCTCGAGGTCAGGAGTTCGAGACCAGCCTGAGCAAGAGCGAGACCCCGTCTCTACTATAATAGAAAACAAATTAATTGGCCAACTAACATATGTAGAAAAAACTAGCTGGGCATGGT